TATAGCAGAGAGAGAAAGAGAGAGAGAGAGAGAGAGAGAGAGAGAGAGAGAGAGAGAGAGAGAGGCAGGCAGACAGACGCAGTAAGGATTCTGAGCTTCAAATCCCCAACCTCATTGTGCATTTCGAGAACATACTCTTCTTTCTTTTCTTTTTTTCTTCCTCTTTTTTCCTTCCGACTCTCTTCGAGGTACAAAGTTGAAGGACAAGTAATCACAAAATCATGACACATGATATTTTGCTATTTCAGACCAAAGTACGACGGAATCCTCGCATTTTTCTGAAGAGTTACATGTTTGTTATTGTTTTGTTACGTTTTGTTTTTCCTCTCCGGTCAATGACTTACGTCTAGCTGTGCCCATTCGACTTTACTATTCAACATTCGCGATTTCCCGCAAGTCACAGCTATTCGAAGCGTAGCAGAGCCATTCGAATGTCGAATGATTGTTACGGACAATCAATTTTCGTCTCATTTTCTTTTCTCAACTCGCCGCAAAATTAAATGATGCATGATATTAGATCTATGTCTAAAATGTTTTTGAGGTAGATACAGAAATACTCTCTACTCGAAGATTTGGAGACAGATTGGTAGGTGAATAGCACTGTGAGCAGTGAATATTGCATAGACCGAGTTTCGTTGATGGTCTGTTTAACTTAAAATAAGGGGGGGGGGGGAGGAAATAATCGCACATGTATTCGAATATGGCGAATAGTGAGTGACTTCACGCTTCGAAGCGTCGATGGAGTTTCGTTTCCTCAAAATTCACACAACACTGTTACCTCGTACGCCAGCGGGGCTGTCAATCTTAACGTGTGTGTGTATGCAGATCTAATCATTGCGAGCGAACAGGAGAACGACCTTGCTTGTCGTTGTAATGTTTGCCTGTGCTCTGTTCTAGATCTGGATCTTTTTCGGTGATAGTCAGGTTAGTTTTGCAGCACGCCTCTTACAGGTCTTATTATGTAGAATCTATATCCTTCTTGCTGTCTTCCTTACGTTTTTATCTTTCTGTTTTGTTAGATAGATTCTAGCAGCGAAGGGCCACGCTTTTCGGCAAGTGGTTGTAGTGCACTAATACTGGTAGGTCCTTATTCTTCTTTCCTTTCAGTCTAGCTGGGTTTTTTTCTTCTGTCTTGCTTTTCCCTTGCATTATATCATATCTCTCTGTTATTTATTCGATATGCTTCTCTTTTTCTCTTTTCTCAAACTCAAACGTAGGTTTTATTACTGAATACAGTACGCTTGTTAAATTTTATGCAACATTGGCAAGCAACAGCTCAGATAGATTCTGTGGGTGGTTGACGAGTGCTCTTGTGTGATTTGCTCCTTCTTTCCTATCAAACATCTATCATCCTTATCTCTACTCTTTCTTTTTTTGTGTTTGTTACTCTCGTATAACACATCTATTCTTCGGCACTTATATGACCTTATAGTGTTGCAAGTGCCGTAAAACTCTTACTAAAACTAAAACTAAGATAGGTTGCTGGTTATTACTTTGGTGGTTTTTTTTCATCTGATAGGCCTAGTGGTAAGGTTTGTTCAGCGCGCAGGATTCCTTAAAATCAAAATGCATTTCTTTTACAAAAACCAAGCTGACATTCTTTGCAGATTGTTTTCTTTTTGTTTATTTTGTTTTACATATATAGATCTAGATCTAACCTCTTACTTGTGTGTTGAGTGTTCCCGAAACTCATTAAGCACACGCATTTTGTCACATGACAACGTTTGAAGACTCGTTGTTTAGGGGCTCTTTAAACAAGAAGCATATAACTCTTTTTCATTCATATACATTATTATTATTATTTTAGTTCCGTTTGTTTTATCTGAAAATTGATATTGTAGACAACAATGTACGTATAATATATATATATAT